CGAACCGAACCGTGAATTTTGTGTATTGTTGCACCCCTAGTAATGATGTACTCAAATGGCCTTCCACAGTCATAAGATCTCAATCCAATAGAGCACCTTGGGGATGTGGTGGAATCGAGATTCACATCATGGATGTGCAGCAGCTGCATGATGCTAACATATCATGTCAATAAGGACCATATGGAGCAGAATCTCTGAGGAGCACAGCTCCCTGGAATCTATACCCATGCGGCAATGGGAGGGGGGTGTTTGTATCACTGTAAAAGGAAAACTTCCAGCGTTTTGGAAAGACGAAACGATCTCTTCAAAATATCACCTCGGGCCGAGAGTAATGGAGGAAGACATTTTCCTCCATACTTCATTTTACAGGCTAAACAATTTATCGGTTAACTGAAAAATAATGAACCAGTTGATGCCATGTGAATTAAGTAGTAGCCTCAAAAAATATGAATTGAAATCGGGCAAAATTGTTATTCATTAATTTAATGACAGACAAACAGAAATGCAGGCAGGGAGACAGAAAGATTAATGGTGCCCACCGGAAACAGTCATTCATTCAATTAATGAGATTAGTTAATGATTTGAACTGTGGAGCCGGTGGAAGTGGACTTTTCCCCTCCGCGTCCCGAGTCCACATTTAGTGTGTCTTTTCTAAGATTACATAACGCCATCCTTAAGCAGATGGGTGAAGTCAGATCACAGGGTGTTTGTGACAAGTCGGAGCAGAGGGCCGTCTTAAGAAAAGATGTGGCAGGATCCCGTGAATTCCTTTGTTTTTCCTTTGGAGCCATGAACCAAAGAGGGCTTACATTATGCTCATGTCAGCTATTGATTCAGCAGGCTGGGGAACAACAGAAGACATATTCTCTCCTCGCTGTCCTCCCCCCTCCTTCCTCCCCGCATCAGTATGCTCCAAGGAGCCGTAGCTCCCATCGCACCATCTTTGCTCCCCGTCTCTGGGCCGTTTTTGAGATCTGCAGACGCATCCGATTTATTCTTTCTGCGTGGGGCATTTTGCTTTAATTTTACATATACCAACTTAAGTCTGGAAGCTACCTCGGGACGTTTAGAGTATGTATTTACATCCACCTCTTCCCATTTGAGCCACACAAGAATAGCCGTTGTATGGCTTGGACTCTTTTAACGTGGCTCAAAATAAATTAAATTTATAAATTTAAGCCACAGCGCTGTTGGTAAAAATGTCATTAATATATTTTTGAGACGTCTTCTTTCTAATTATCTCTGACCTGCAGGAGCACTCTCAATAATGTGCTTCTCTCTCTTTCCGGTCATTGATCTCCCCTGAGCACAGTATTACTCAAGTGTCGTACTGTAGTTTGATATTTTATATGGGTCTTTATGCAATATTGTACTTTATCTTTATTTGTTTCATAACTTTGTAGGTTCTAATTAACAGTACAGTAATTATAATTAGTAAAGAAATTATGGCGTTATGATGTATTAAGATAAGATCATACTTAATTAATCTTCACAAGCTACCCAGAGGTGTAGTTTTAAAGTAATTAAAGTTGGCTCTACCTTTATCTGCTCCAATGTTAATGATGTTTCTACAACATAGGTTCTATTTTTCAGTCATTTGAAAGTAAGTTAAAAGACCTAAGTGCTGTTCTGCTCTTCCCTAGCTCCATATTTCTGTTTCTAACGGGGGGTTTGATTGATTTACAGTTCAAAACAATCCTTATTCACCCTACTGACCTAAGTGTAGCCCCTCATCCAATCCCCAAAACTAACCGTTTTAGCTCCTCTTGTCTTTCATGTGACTCTGCCAACAGAAGGGCACAAACAAAAATGTTTTTATTATTACATCTGCCTGAAAAAGAATTTAAAATGTCATCCTCAAATGTCATTAATTTCATCGATGATAATACTTAAGTACTGCATAAACTTCTGTACTAGATGTCTCTAAAAGTCATATCTAAGTCATGTGGGTGTATTTCTGTCTGTGTTGTTATAGGCAGGAGCATCGTCCATGTGGGCGTCATGCTGCGGGCTGTTGAACGAGGTGATGGGCACGGGCACGGTGCGGGCCCAGCAGCCGGGGTTTGGAGCAGGCGCGGGGCCCTTTCGCTTCGCCCCCAGTGCTGGGTACTCCACCTACCCCCCCACCAGCTCAGGGAGCGCCGGGCAGCTGTGCAAGGCCTGCGGACTGGCCTTCTCGGTCTTCAGACGCAAGGTAAACACGGATGTCAGCGAGTGACATGTGACAAAGCAGTAAGTGGAGCCTATCCCAGCTGTCGTAGGGCGAGAGAGTCACATCATGCCAGTGCTATATAAAAATGAACTCGCAGAGACTGCAAAGGTGCGAAGTAATCCCTCACACTCAACATTTTACACACCTTTTTTCAGCCTTGTAATCATTCTGTGCGGTTGTGAGCAGCGACTTTTCCTTCCTTGTGCATTCAGGAAAACGCACCCTAAAGTTCGGAGTCATCTTTTTTTTTTTTCCTTTTTTTCTTTTAAATCTTGCAAAACATTTAGAAGTTTCTCAACCTTAAAATCCTATTTACTATATTTTAATATAAACCTAATAACTTATAAGATTTATACATACAATATTATATTCAATCCATAATAAATTATGTAATTCTTTATGTTGCTCTTCTTAATCAGCACAATCATTAATTTGAGATACCTTTTAATTTAAGGAGCAAGGCCAAATTTTTACTCTTCTGTTCTCATTTTCATTTTCTTCTCAGTTCTCATGGCTCTCATTAGTACATGGAGATCTGCCCAGCTCTGAGGTGCCCCCACCAGTCCTCACCGAGGCCTTCCCCCAAACCACAGTCGTAGGCATAGATCCATCTTTGTTACAGCAGCCGTTCTCTTACAAGAAACATTGTCAATCTAATTGGTCCCTGTTAGTGAAGAGTAATATTATTCAGACTGGTCTTTGATACTTGTATATATCTATCCCATTTTGGTGCAAGTCAAGAACATTGTTTTGCGCTATTGACAGAAATCCTTTAAAGAAAAGCTCAAGCTGTGCATGATGAGACAGTTGTATTATTTTCCTACTTTTAAACTTTTCATAATGTGAATATTAGCCTCCACGTAAGCGTAGCCATTGAGAACTCACGGGCTTGTCTCTTTTTGACGTCTCGAAACTCTAAAACTTCAGATTTTTGAACATTTCATAGTATTTATTCCTCTAATGTATATTTATTCGCTGGTTTCTGCAGCAAACGTGCTGTTTTAGAGTAAAACTATTTTTAAGAGGACTCGGCTAAACATCTTACGTGGTTGTGTTAGAATGTGCGCCGTACCTTTCCAGGGTGTCTGCACAGCTCAACGTGTTAGCATGGCAGAGTTTTATCTGCCTGGCAGTCAGACGGACTGATTAAAACTCTTCCTCTTTCCACGCAGCTTCACAGATGCCGGGTTGACTTCCATTTCACTGTCAGTGTGGTATTTTTATGGTATCTTTATAAAAAGAAGGGGGGGAAAAAAACCTGCTGGGGGATTAACAACAACTGATTGAAGCAAAGTATCTGTTACGGTGCAAATGTGCTTCTTGTGAACCAAGAGCACATTTGTGCACAAGCGATAAGAAAATGTTTACAGCCGTGGCCGACCCGCTTTCCTGCCCATTTGAAGTGTCAATCTACTCAGAGGCTCTGTATCAGGAGACAGTGTTAAGCCTGTTAAATGTCAAACATCACCAGGAGCTACAGATGGTTTACGTCTCTTTTCTGGACTCTCTTTCCTAGAAATGACTGGGCTCTGTTTCAGATGGGACTCTGTGTTCGTGGTTATTAAGGTTTCTCTTTGTCAGGGCGATTCAGGCAGAGCCAGGCGACTCCTGCATGCAGTATTTAAATAAGTGGCTATATGGGGACATGGCTGCACTCAGTACTGATTAAAAGGAATGTCTGTCAAAAGCTAAACTTTGCCCATTTTTCAGAGGTCTGATCTGATTAGATTTCTTTCAGAAGGTCTTTCCCTTATTTATTTATTTTTAAAGTGGCATAAATGGTGAAGAGTTTATAAGGCCAGACATCATCACCCTTATGTTGCTGAAAAAGAACAACTTCAAGAACAAGTTTGTTTGCGTCAGTCAGAAGAGAAAGAATAACTGATCACATCACATCTGTCTTTCAATCTCTCCTCCCCCTGCAGCACATCTGCTGTGACTGTAAGAAGAGCTTCTGCGCTCTGTGCTCGGTGCTGCAGGAGAACCTGCGCTGCTGCACGACCTGCCACCTCCTGCGCAGCACGGCCTTCCAGCGGCCTCGGCTCATGCAGCTCAGGGTGAAGGACCTGCGCCAGTATCTGCTGCTGCGCAACATACCGACCGACACATGCAGGGAGAAGGAGGACCTGGTGGACCTGGTGCTCTGTCACCAGGGTGCGAGACAGGGCGCGAGGCAGACCCCGAGACCGGTGATGGAGGAGGATGAGGAGGATGAAGAGGAGGAGGAGGAGGAGGAGGAGGATACACATGAGGAGGAGGAGGAGGAAGATGAAGAGGAGGAAGATGAAGGGGGAGATGACACAGACAGCCTGCACTCGCTCCCGCACTCACGTGCCGCCTCGCCCCCTTCCGCAACGCGCTCCACCTCTGAACAGTCGGTCCTGTCCGCCTCTCAGGGAGACGTGCTCAGCCCAAGTGACAGCTCAGGGACCACCAGCCAGGTCTGTGCTCACAAACACACCGCTTTCATTCAGAGTGTGTCAGCATCCTAACAACGAGCATCCTGGCAGCCGCACGTGCACAAGCATCATTCCCTGATTTACATCCGCCATACTTCCTTCACATCTGTCCTCATTCTGTCCGAGATAATTAATTTCAGAGGTGAAATCAACATATTAAGTTTCAGAGTGGCTGTTTTAACTTCTTCTCTTTTTAACTCTCTAACAAACAAGCACTCTCGTGTGCATAGAGGGCTTAGATGTCTGTTTCATTTGATTTCATGCTTTACTCCTTTGTGCTGCTTTCTGTGTTTTGTTTTGTTTTCTGGTCTTGTTGCTTTGTTATGAATGAAAAATCGACTCCATTGAAGGGAAAAAAGGTTAACTCTCCTCCGTGGTACTGGTGCAGTGTTCAGCAAAATATCCATGTGACAGCTGAAAACAGCTGTGTTAGCTATGTGGGCTAGCTCTGTGTGTAAGTGCAAAGCCCTCAGACCAGCCAGCGAGGCAGATTAAGCCCTTTGCCTTTTTTTAGTACTGTTACATGTACTGAGCCTGTTATGTAACAGGAGCACAGGTTGAGAACTCCCCACAGCGTCACAGCTGCAACCAAACAGCAGAAACACCACTGTACACTCCTCCTCTCATCTCTTCATGGGATGGGCACTGTGCAAATTTTAGTTTGTGGCACTTTAAATTTCTTACCACCAAATTTTGACACAAATACTCAAAGACAGTCGGACAAGAAAGCAAAAGTCATCTAAGACATTTGTGCTAACTTCATGAATTATTGAGAAAACAATCTGTCAAAAAATTTGGACGGTCCAACTAGATCACTCCAAACTGCACTCTTAGACTAGACATATGTAGGATATGGGGCTTTTTGGGGGGTGAGATCTGAACTAATCTAACATATGTACCAGATATATTTGTGCCGTGGTCTTCCTAAAATATACCTCATCATTAAAATTAACTGAGAATTAACAGGCATCATTGCCAGTAAAAGTGTGGTGGCAGACGAAACTTCCACATATAGTTACAAAAGCTCAGTGAATTAACATAAAGACACACAGTCACTTTTTAGGTACATCTGACTTTTGCTGTTTGAATATCAGCAAATCACATGACAGCAAATCAGTGCATTTAGGCCTTTAGACAAGATCGGCAGCTCAAGTTCAAACAGAGCATCAGAATGGCGAGCTGAGCATGTCAGAAACTGCTCGGATTTTCCTGCCCAATCATTTCTACGGTTTATGGAGAATTGTCTGAAATAAAGAAAATATCCAAGAATCTGCAAACCTCTGGGCAAGAAGATGCCAGAGGTCAGAGTAGAATAGCCTGATATGAAGGCAAATGCAAGTCAAGTAACCACTAGTTAAAACAAAGGTATGCAGGAGAGCATCTCTGAGCATGCAACACATCAAAACTTGAAGCAGATGGGCTACAGTGCAGTCTCTATTTCTGCTCCAGCAGAAGGAGCGATGAGTGACAAGGATGCCCGGTGCTGCAGTTGGCACCATTTCAGCAGGACAAGCCCCACAGATCCTGCATGTTGCAGATATATACAGTGGGGCAAAAAAGTATTTAGTCAGCCACCGATTGTGCAAGTTCCCCCACCTAAAATGATGACAGAGGTCAGTAATTTGCACCAGAGGTACACTTCAACTGTGAGAGACAGAATGTGAAAAAAAAATCCATGAATCCACATGGTAGGATTTGTAAAGAATTTATTAGTAAATCAGGGTGGAAAATAAGTATTTGGTCAATAACAAAAATACAACTCAATACTTTGTAACATAACCTTTTGTTGGCAATAACAGAGGTCAAACGTTTACTATAGGTCTTTACCAGGTTTGCACACACAGTAGCTGGTATTTTGGCCCATTCCTCCATGCAGATCTTCTCGAGAGCAGTGATGTTTTGGGGCTGTCGCCGAGCAACACGGACTTTCAACTCCCGCCACAGATTTTCTATGGGGTTGAGGTCTGGAGACTGGCTAGGCCACTCCAGGACTTTCAAATGCTTCTTACGGAGCCACTCCTTTGTTGCCCGGGCGGTGTGTTTTGGATCATTGTCATGTTGGAAGACCCAGCCTCGTTTCATCTTCAAAGTTCTCACTGATGGAAGGAGGTTTTGGCTCAAAATCTCACGATACATGGCCCCATTCATTCTGTCCTTAACACGGATCAGTCGTCCTGTCCCCTTGGCAGAAAAACAGCCCCATAGCATGATGTTTCCACCCCCATGCTTCACAGTAGGTATGGTGTTCTTGGGATGCAACTCAGTATTCGTCTTCCTCCAAACACGACGAGTTGAGTTTATACCAAAAGGTTCTACTTTGGTTTCATCTGACCACATGACATTCTCCCAATCCTCTGCTGTATCATCCATGTGCTCTCTGGCAAACGTCAGACGGGCCTGGACATGCACTGGCTTCAGCAGCGGAACACGTCTGGCACTGCGGGATTTGATTCCCTGCCGTTGTAGTGTGTTACTGATGGTGACCTTTGTTACTTTGGTCCCAGCTCTCTGCAGGTCATTCACCAGGTCCCCCCGTGTGGTTCTGGGATCTTTGCTCACTGTTCTCATGATCATTTTGACCCCACGGGATGAGATCTTGCGTGGAGCCCCAGATCGAGGGAGATTATCAGTGGTCTTGTATGTCTTCCATTTTCTGATGATTGCTCCCACAGTTGATTTTTTCACACCAAGCTGCTTGCCTATTGTAGATTCACTCTTCCCAGTCTGGTGCAGGTCTACAATACTTTTCCTGGTGTCCTTCGGAAGCTCTTTGGTCTTGGCCATGGCGGAGTTTGGAGTCTGACTGTTTGAGGCTGTGGACAGGTGTCTTTTATACAGATGATGAGTTCAAACAGGTGCCATTCATACAGGTAATGAGTGGGGGACAGAAAAGCTTCTTACAGAAGACGTTACAGGTCTGTGAGAGCCAGAGATTTTCCTTGTTTGAGGTGACCAAATACTTATTTTCCACCCTGATTTACGAATAAATTCTTTACAAATCCTACCATGTGGATTCATGGATTTTTTTTTTCACATTCTGTCTCTCACAGTTGAAGTGTACCTCTGGTGCAAATTACTGACCTCTGTCATCATTTTAAGTGGGGGAACTTACACAATCGGTGGCTGACTAAATACTTTTTTGCCCCACTGTATGTTATATGTTGAGATCTGTGGGGTTGAAATAATTCCTAATAATGTCCCTAGTGTGGTGTCTGCTTTTGTTTGTTTTGTTTTGTTTTTTTAAATGACAGTGTCCACTTTGCTCAGGGCTCTGCTTTGTGATTGATTAGTGGTTGACATCACTTGACGTCTATTAGCTTTAGCTTCTGAAACTACACATTGCAGTGAAATACCTTTTTGGGTGATGCAGTTTTTTGTGTGATAATGCAAAGCCACTGCGTGAACTGAGTAAGATTTTCATGCTCACTTAGATATTCAAACTCTCGAGTTGATACCACTTCAACCCTTTTCACAAAAAAAAGGACCGTACACATCGTTGCTTTTGATGAATAACCCATTTTCTCTGAGGCGATGTTTGGGGGATATTGGTGTCACTTTTCAGACTGGAGCTGGAAAATAGACTGAATATCAAAGAAAGGGGGGGGGAATTGGATCAGTTGCTTTGAGATTTAACATTTCAGTGCACAGGATGATTGACAGGATTGTTTTATCACAATATAATGTCAAAACTAGAAGCCTCTTTGTTTGACAAGATGCCGTAATTTCTCTTTTAAATTACCTTGACATTTGTAGCTCTCTGGCATGAGATACGACGATATCGGCATCCGTCCAGGAGGTTATGGCCCTTGAAAATGTCTGGACATTTTTTGCTAACATTTGGTATCAAATCTATGAATCAGTAAGCATGTGATGGAACCTGACACATTTCAAGGAAATCCTCCTGTGCAGAGCCAAAATAAAAACTATCTAGCCCGTGTATGTTTTGTTGTACACAAAAGCCTTCTGAACGTTTTGTTTCTGTTTGTGCTTCTGCAGCCTTGCTGGTTAATTCAAGTGCTTTCTAGTACTTCTATGTCATTTTGATGGTTGAATAAAATCTAACATCATTCATGTGTTCCACTGAGGTTCGGCTCTCTGTGAGAGTCGAGACTGCAGCTCATGTTTGTGTCTCTGAGGAGTGCCGTCTGAGCAAAAGCACGATGTCTGCACAAAGCGTTAGGCACCTAGCAGCGCTCCTGATGGATTCATTATTAACACGTCTTTATTCAAGAAAGACGATGGTCTGCGGGAATGTGCTGAAGCAGAGAGAGGGAGTTTAGTTTTTATGGTCTAGAAGGAGAGGCGCTGAACTCAGTGGTATCAATTAGAGCTTATTTCAGTGCCTCACGAGTTTGTTTTGTCACACAGATAAAAGAACAAAGAGGGCAATATCAGCAGTGATAACACAGCTACACAAAACAGAGCCTAAACTCTTCTGTAGCTCCTTTCGTTCTCTTATTAAATACAGCAAATTCCTGACCTCCACCTTCAAAGAGATTAATTAACTGCTGAGCTAAGAGGAGCTGTGACAGTGTTTAAACATCTCTGTTCATTCGTTGGCTTTCTGAGCAGTTAAAGTCACAGATAGCGGTAAAGTAATTTCTTTTATCGTGGCAATGATGTCACACAGAGCAGGAACAATTTATTTTATTATGCTTTCCATAAAGGTTCCACATTCGTTACTTTGACCAAAAGAGGTCTAAGCCATCAGGTAAAATGGCAAAGTATGTAATGTTTATCTCTGCAGTGTCTTTTTTTAACTGCAATAACCGAGTGGTTCTTGTATAGAACTTTTTATTGTGATGTAACATTTTATGCATTCATTCAATAGTGTTGTAGCACATGTATTCTGAAAGAATAGGTTGTTCTAACAAAAAGTCGTGTAAATAACTTCAATTCCGTTTTATTTATGTCGCACCAACACAACAGTCGAACTCAAGGCGCTTTATATTGTAAGGTAAAGACCCTACAACAATACTGAGAGAACTCCAGTAATCAGATGGCCCCTTTGAACTAGCTTTTGGCAACAGTGGGAAGGAAAAACTCTCTTATAACAAGAAGAAACCTCCAGTAGAACCAGGTTCAGGGAGGAGCATGAATGTGCATTATATACCTGAGATTTTTAAAGTATTTTTACACAGGGAAAAGAACTAATATGGGATGTGCATTAGATCTTATGAGTTAAACTACGAACTACGAAAATCAGTCATTGTCACACCTGAGAAGTCTTTGGTATTTATCTTAACAAGTTCAAAATCATTGTGACAGTTGGATCTGACTTAAGTTAACCTGACTGTTTGTCTCCACTCACACAGGAGCATGATGATACTCCAACAGCATCCCTCTTGAACCTGGAGCCCACGGAAAGTCTCATAGAGGTGTGAGACCCGCTTTTGTGCACATCTACAGCGTCGAACTGTCCGTATCTTTAAAGTCAAAGGAAATGCTATCCTGTTGCTCTGTAAGTGATTACGGCTCTGCTGCTGTGTGTGGATTGCAGGTCAGTCCGGCGACACAAAGGAGGATCAGAGCCTCGCTGTCGGATCTCGACAACGAAGAGGCGATAGAAAACCTGTCCGTCCGCCAGCTGAAAGAGATTCTCGCCAGGAACTTTGTCAATTACTCTGGCTGCTGCGAGAAGTGGGAGCTGCTGGAGCGAGTGCATCGACTCTACAGAGAAAACGAGCAGAACAGGAAGTCAAGTGAGAGCTTTGAATTTTCATTGTTTCTTACAAATTTCACTATTTTTATTTTTTTCTTGATGAACACTTTTTTTTTCTCCTTGTGCTTTAGTGGAAAATGTCAACATAACTGCAGGTAACTTGCATTTAATTATGTCTGTTCATCTGTGATTACAACATTGCATTTATGCCGCTGATGTGCTGTAATTATGTGAGGATGCATTTAATGCAAAACAACCTGCTTATTTGCTGCTTCACTTTTTATATTAATGAGCAAGTTCACGTCCCCCAAACTAATCTTCTTTGTTACTGCCCCTTCTTAACTATATAGTGGTTGCATATCCTCCACCTCTCTGCAACAGTGGAGTTGGAGGTAAGATGTGTTTCTAAGCCACATCACACACTATTTCCATCTCCTCCATGATCGCCATTGTACTGATACTGCATTTGCAACTCATCTGCTAGACCAGTTAAGGCATGCTGCAGCTGCTTTTACTCACCCCGTCCTTTACCATCTTCCTCTTTGTTGTGATCTTGCAAGGGTGCTTTTTATTAAGTCATTATTTCCTGCCTGGTTCGGTGTGTCTGCATTCTGTCACTCGTGCTTCTTCTCCTGTGTACATCATCTCTGTTTATTCTGAAGGACAGCCTCTCATGCCGTCGTTAATGCCCTCTTTAAGGGCTTTTACCTCTTGATGAGCCGTCATGGTGCTTCAGTGGCAGCATGTCTTCAGGTGTAATTGCATTGTCAAGCGTCCTCGTTGACATGAAGGGCTTGCGGATCACATTAGCTCCTCTTATTAGTCAGCTGTGCACAGGCAGCAGACAGGCTGCAGCTGCATTGGTCTTTTCCTGTCACGCTAGATGTGAGCAGCAGGACCCAGATTTAGGCCAGTCAGCTGATCAGTCAGAAATCATTTAAGTGTTAGTAAAACCACAGCACTGATACAATTTGCCGCTGTGATTTTAAATGGTTTTGATGGGAGAGGCTGTCTGCCTACCATCAGCATGTGTTGATCATTATGCATGGCTCTGTTCACAAGCTGTCACAGGACGGCTCAGCAGTTTCCTTTTGTTAGTATCGATATTTTATCTCCATCTCAAATAAATAAAACCCCTTATTTTGCCCTGCACATGGAAACATTTAGCACAGACAGGTTTATGTTGCTCTATTTGGCACTAACACACACATTTCAAAATAGAGCCTAGACTAAAACCAGAGCACAGACCTCTTGACATGTCTGCTAGTTCAGTTAACCATACAGAAGGCCATATTGTTTGCAATATACAGGGCTCCAAAAGGAACCAACACCACAAAGACAGTCAAGCAAGCCTCATTGGCATCGACATGTCAATCAAAGTTGCCGTACCCCTAATAATGCCTGTCTTTAATCCTTAATCAGATTTAAATGAGATGGCAGCATCTTGTGGCATTTTAGAGCTTCACTCGTTTTTAGTACCTCAGTACTGGCTTCACTGTTTCAGTCCAAGAGGAAGGACCACATGCTTTTAAGTTTTTTAGTTTCGTTTTTTGTTCTTTGTGTTTTTTTACTTTGGCATGGAAAGTGCAGGGATTTAGATTATTCCGAGAACTAACTTGTCACCAAATAAAATGAATGGTAATATTTTTAATCGCTGGAGATGGAGAGCTTCCACCTCACAAGAAGTGTAGATATAAATATCTGCAATAAAGCTTCAAAGTACTTTATCATTTTAAATAACATCTCAAACCCACAGGGAGTGTAGGGCTGTAGTTTACTGGGCCGAACATTGGTGATGGTGTTTGTGCTTATTATTCTGTCTTGCATCTGCACCTCAACGCTGATCTCCATACACTCTTATGAGCCCACAGCAAAGAAGGATTTCTTATTGAAAATATTTATTTTACATATATATATATATATATATTCCCATCCACAGATGGCGTCAAAGCTCAGCTGGCGGCTGATGAAAACCTGTGTCGCATCTGCATGGATGCCATCATTGACTGTGTGTTACTGGAATGTGGTCACATGGTAACTTGCACCAAATGCGGAAAGAGGATGAGCGAGTGCCCCATCTGCAGGCAGTATGTTGTGCGGGCCGTGCATGTCTTCAAGTCTTAAAACTCAGTGTGAGCGTGGGTGAGTGGGTGAATGTCGGCGCGGCTCTCAGGCGTGGCCCGAGCCCTGAATTTATCACTGAGAATGAACTGCTGTGCATGACGTCTCACAGGGCCTAATGCTGCAGCAGGCGTGAGCAACTTCTCGGTCTTGAAAACCAGACTGTTGTATCTGGCCTACCACGGTTTGCCCCCCTGCCCTCCTTACTAACTTATGTTCCAGTCCCCCTTTCTCCACCCTGGTGGACCGGCATCGGCTACATCGGGACTTTCATTTTCTCTGTCTTTGGTCGTAAAACACACAGCAGAAGCCCCTGCCATCACGTTGTACTCGCCAGTGTCTGTTTAGATTCGACCCACAAGAGAGGAGTGGGCAGGAGGTGGTCCTGCGGGTACTTGAAGTGGACCGCCTTGTTATTTGTGGGGAAGAGAAGCAGTTAAAATATAAGATCCCAGGGTTTGAGTCAGTATGGTTTACACAGTCATGCCACATGGCATTGTGTCATTCTCCTTCAGTGTTGTTTTCTTTGTTTCTTTGTTTCTTTTTAGGATGTGCAATATCAGAAAAAAGTAAAAAATAAAAAAGAAGTGTTCTTAGAAAATATTTATTATGCACCAGGTCGTCTCACACAGGAGCATGTAGGGTGCCAAAAAAAATCATGCCTTGAGTTGATATTTGGTTAAGTTTCACAGTATATGCATCACATAACCAGCAAGCTTGGTGTGATACCTTATTCTTATTTTTCCATTTACTCAAATGAACTTTGGGGAAACAGAGTGTGTACACGTGAGCCGGTTAACACTTACTGTGTGAAGGATCGTTTCTCCGTTGTCTCATCCAAGACTCCTGCAGTTTGCCGGTTGGTTAAGTCACAGTGTACATTCCTGCTAGATCTACTGTGCGAATGTTTATTAAGACAACGACAACAAAATGAACTCAAGGCCCACTTTCAAGCTTGTTGTAGAGCTTTTTGCTGCATTTTACAGTCTCTGTAATGTGATCGTTCATTGATTTGCCATTGACATGTTCCTTGATGTCGCATGACTTAAGGTGGGAGATCATGTGAAAGGCCTCCTTCTTCTCCTGTGTACATTTTATTTCCCCACGTCCTTTCTCCTACTGGTCCATTTCTCCTCACAGTCATCGTTAAATGTACCTTAGGAGCTAAACTGATTTATAAATCTCACATGTCCACCAGTGATTATAGACAGGATGCACGTGAGACAGTTTTATTCCATCATCTCACAGTAACTCTAACACAGTGGAATATAATTTTACTGCAAAATTGTGTAGCAGTTGTTACCAACTACGTTTTCTGATACAAAAAAGCAGAAGAGATAACATATCACTTATCCATGAAGGACTTAGAAGATGATTAAATCAACAACTGTAACACAGCTATAAATGCACAACTAAGTTAATCAGTTTAAGTCTTCTTGCATTTTACCAGCTTCTAAGGGAATTTTTCTGTGGACAGTAGAACCAGTCGGGCTGACAAATGATCCTGCTGTGCAGCCTATCATAAATAAGTGATGTTGCCTAATAGGTCTGACACAATGGAAGCAAGAGTTTCTCATTTGGCAGCTTCTGTACTCAAATCTCTCTCCCATCTTTGCCGGGAGGAGCTGAGAGGTGAGGACGACACAGGAGCGAATGAAGTGAGCAGCTTCATTTAATGAAAACAAACCCATGACATGCTGCTGGACGTCCCAGTAGGAGGTACTAAGTGGACCTTGAGTTTAGCCCCTATATTTATCTACATTTTAAAGTTGGTTTAGTCTTCTATAGCTTTCACCAAGCAATACCGTTTCATTTCCAAATTGATCACGTGTTTGTGTCATCCTTTTTAATGTCAGATCGTAGGAAGGTAACAGGTGCTACTCTTTTTTTTTTTTTTTTGAGTGAAACTTCCTCACGCAGACGTTTTGCCACGTCGTTTCCAAATATCCATCACACAGTAGGAGGCAGCCTGATTTACTTTAACCTGTTATGCAAATAAAACATTTTGTTCTTGTCACGAGATCCAGTTAACTCGGATGTCACTGAAGTATCTGTGTGTACAGTATGCCTGTGGTAAATAAAATAACTGCAATTTAATCGCTGTTAAGTAAATTGCATAGATAGCTTTTATTGTTGTTTACTGATACTTTATTAAATGTATATTTTTCCATTTACCTTGGAGTTGACAGGATTAAAAATTCTAATCATTACAAAGGTTTAAAAAAAGGAGAATTTACTGTTTTTCAGAATGTATTTCTGCTAGTTATGGTCACATGAGTTTGATCATGTCTCTCACTATTAAAGTTGCATCATAGTCTTGCTTTCTACAACCTTTCTGTTGTCTTCTGCTTCCAATTCACTCGCACCGTGCGATGTAGCAGTCGCTGTTACTCTGTCAGTTTGTTGTTGCTGCTGTCTCTCAAAGATGTCACTCACGGGCAGCTAAGGTATTATCAGAGTGAGAGCACATCATAAGCACTCGTAATCCTGGATCTTTATATTTTTGACTGTTCAACCTTTTTATTTTGGTAATCAAGATATTAAAAAAAGAATTTATTAGATTCAATAAAATGCAGTACTACAAACCAGAATGTAAAACCCTGCTTTTCATTTTATAAAACTGTGATATTCTCACTGATTGATATACTGTTTAAAAGTCTTGAGCCAATCCATGACTGATAGTGTTTTTCTATCCAAGTATGCTTTTACTGCAATGGCGGTGTGTTTGGGATCATTACAATACAAAAAAATTAAGGTAATCAGACACTTTCCAGACAGCATTGCAGCTATAGTGTCAATGGTTTGGGAATCATCCTGTTGAAGTAAAAATACATTTGTATGCCTGTCAAACTGTGTTATATTGGATTTTTTTTTTCCAAGAAATGGGAACAAATGATGGATAAAAGAAACTTTTCTGTGAAAATGGTTACAGAGTAGGACTGGACTCAAAATTACTGAAAAAGTAAAATTGTATTTTACAGCACCTTTTAAGAAAAAGATAAGTCCCTCACAAAAAAGGAAATCGTTACCTAAATGCAAATCTAGAAAGTTTTTAATTGCTGGTCCATGTCCATGAAGAGCTGTAAAAGTCAGAACCAGAATCTTGAAATGGACTCTCAATTTAATGGGGAGCCACTGCAGTTGGATCAGCAACATAAACTAGGCATAAATCTCTCAGGGGCTCAAAAAGGGGCTTAATGACGAAAAAATTAAGTTGGACAAGGCTAGGCACTTATTCAGGATATGCAGCTTAGAAACATCTTGGGGCTTAAAAGAGATATACAAGGGAATATATAGCAAATGCCCTCAAAGGTGCTCAAAATGTGCTGAAGAGGGAGCAGATATAATAGAAATATTAAAGGTCCTAGTACAGAACCTTGTGGCACACCATAGCTAAAGGAAGAAGACAAGGACCTGAAGCAGGAAAGCTTCGTTCAGAACCACTCCAGAGCAGATCCAGATATACTCACCCAACATTTTAGCCTATAAAACAAAATGTGGTGGTGAGCAGTATCAAAAGTGGAGATCAGGTCCAATATTAGTAGACCAGAACAGTCTCCAGCCTCAGTCGGCATCAAAATCTCACTGGACACTAAGAAATGCAGTTTCAGTAGAATGAGCTCTAGAAAACCAGATTGAAATTTGCCATGTAAACTGTATTTGTCCAAGTAAGCTGCTTAGCCACAGCCTTTTCTAAAATCTTAGCAATAAATGACATTTTAAAATTGGTCTCTAATTGCTAAGAAGAGAAGGGTCAAGCTTGTTTTTTGTTTTGTAAATGGATGGATGATAGTGTACTTAAAATTAGCAGGGACTTGACCAGAGAACAGTGAGGTGCTGATTATAGTGAGCACAGAGGGACCAATGGAGTTAAAGACTTTTTTGAAAAAGCAGACAATTTCCAAAATCAAACTTTGAAAGACCTCCAGAAACCCAGGAGAAATATTGTTCAAGACCACTTTTAAAATTCTCAATAAAGTCTGGCTCGTTACAAGTAAAATATAAAGAAATGAGGGGTGGCTCAAGAGTTTTGCACAGTACTGTATAGGAGCCAGCGTGTATTAAACACAGAGGTAAATCTAACATGACCAGCTTTCCAGTATAAGATACAAACCTGTTACTGATTAAACCCAAAGGACGAAACTCACACACTCATCAGTATTTAAAATGAATTTAATATCTCAAAGGTCGACTCTGAAGAGGCTTTGCGTGTACATTATGTACAGATAAATAGATCTGAAGTAATGTACTAAAATATTTCATGGAGACACGGCCTTTTAATAAAAACATAAAATTTTAAATGTAAACCCATCCACTGAACTGTATGGACTGGAGTGCTATTCAAAAATTACGCAAAAGACTTCCTTTTAGAAAAATCTGGAGTTTTAAAGAGGAAAACGAAATTCTATTAATCACTAAACTCATGAGTCAGTCAAAACTTCCAACGACTTCTGAATGTCTTAATACAATTATAAAGAGTATAGGTGCACAGTAAGAACATTGCTTATGAATTTGAAACTTTATCACTGAATGACAGGTCACAATGTACTTACATCAGAAGATCAACTCAAAATATCATAAAAAAAATAAAAAATAAACCAGTGTTAATGTGTTTTCTTTTGTTTTCAGTGAACTTTCTGGCTAACAACTTTTATATTTTACAGAAATCTTTCATACAACCCTCTGCTGACCTTTTCACTTTTCTCCTACACTGGATACAGTGTATTTGGTCTCATGCTGAGTTTCTGGTGAAGGCCTCACATTTTGAGATTGGAATGGCTTCACTGTTATTGGTTTCACTTGTTTTCTCAATATTGTTGTCAATTTCCTTGGAACATGACACTTTAGGCATATAAATAAGAGCGATTTACAAAGTAGAGACACTCAGCTGCATTTTTCATTTGTATGTCTGATCCTCTTTTCTAAATTTAAACCTTATGGGCTTTACAGATTCTTTACTCCTTGCATGATTCAGCACAGTCTCTTCTTTATGGTAACGTGGAGTTCAGCGGGAGTAAACATGGTTATATCGTTTAACTGTTACTAACTCTACTGACAGTGGTGTAAACATGTCTGCATGCAGAGCTAAAACGCTTCCTTCCACAAAGCACCGGGAATACTAAAGAGTAATGGAGATGTTTTTATCTTATAATAGCCCAGTTACCTACAAGCTGTTAGTAAAATTAGCAGAACGTTTTAGTGTTTAAAAAATATGCTTTATACACTGTACACTGTATAGTGTATGTAAGAATGCATTCATGTATTCGTATTGACCGCATCAGTGCAAATAACTAGATATTTCATCCAAATGGACATGGAAAACAAAATATACAGTACCTTTATCTAAAAGGAAGCAGAACTCTGGCATATACAATAATAAAATATAAAAACACCCACACAAACAAAAACTACCATCCTACAAGTCTGGCAACAAATCGTTAGACCTTTGTCTCTCGACAATAAAAAGCTTAACAGTAATGCCAACTAATAATCGCTTTCAGTGCTGTGATACTGTACAGTGGTGCATTTAATAAAAGCTACTTTTAGCCACTCCCTTATTGGAA